GACCAGTCTGTTCCAGACATCCAGGGCAAATCTCCCTGGTGGAGGTTCAGGAAGATCCCCTCGGAACATGCCGGGTGGGAGACGCCACACGAGCTTGGGACCCTGGGCTTGCACCTGCTCCTGCTTGCTGAGCAGGTGGGGCCAGTCCTTGCTCCCGCCCTGTACAGCCTTCATACTCATTCCAGGAGACAGTCTGGGACAGTGTGCCATCCCCTGTGGTCGTTGTCAGCCATGGTGCCCCTGCTGGTTCTTCCTGCCTCGGGCCCCCCTCCCTCCTGCAGGCTGCCAGGGGACCTGAGACCGCAGGCCAGACTCAGCCCACCGCCCCCCGGCATGGGTCCCCGATTCCACAGCGGGCCAGTCAGGCATCTTCCTCCCCCAAATACGCACACCGGTTCCCCCTCTGGAACCTTCCATTTCCTCCCTAGGGCACCTGCTTCACTGCCGATCGTCCTCTCCTGTCCCCCGTTACCTGTCCCCCGTTACCTGTCCCTTCTGAGTTCTGGGCTGGCACTTCCTTTTTTCTGGGAAGCAGACAAAACCCCCAGGGAACCCCCAACCTTGGTTCCTCCACCTCTCACATCCAAAGGTTTGGGGCCTTTTTTCTTTTCTCTCTCTCGCTCTCGTTTTTGTTTTGTTCTTTGTTAGGTTTATTTTATTTATTCCAAGTAAACTCCCAGAACAGCTGGTGATGGCAGACAAATCAGGGACATTGGCCTTTTTTACCCTCACCTCAGAAACTGAGGCCGGGGGAGAAGCAGCAGCGAGGGCGAGAGTGAGGCGGAGGCAGTGGAGCCTGGCGCGGAGTGCGCCTCCGGATCACGGCGGTGTGTGCCCCCTCGGGCTGGGCCGCAACCGCCGAGCACGACTTACGCATTGTGGTCCACGCAGGGACAGCCAGCCTTGTTCCTGAGCGGAGGCTGCGGACACTGGGGCAGAGCTGAGCTGGGGACACCGGTGGGAGCGGGGCACCCCTCCCGCACCGGCTTCCAGAGAATGGTTCTCCCTTTCTCCCTGAGGATACCAAATTGGACGCGCCACGAGTCGGGAGAGAAGAATCGGCCGCCATCCTTCCCCTCACCCCTCATCCCAGGAGGGAAAGGGCATTTTCTTTTTCACCTTTGAAAGGCACTGTGGGCTGTCTCTAAAGTGTTTACAAAAAAAAAAAAATCATAAAAAAAGTCTAGTGTCGACTGGTGTTTTCCCCCGTGATGTTTACAGATCACTGTCTGCCGCCCCGCCAGAGCCCGCGCGGTGACTGAGCCAGGTTCCCGGGTTCCCGGGTTCCCGGGTTCGCGTCCGGTGGCGGTGGCGTGGGAGCCCGCACGCACAGCCCTCCTGTGCCCAGCGCCCCCTCAGTTTGGCCATGTCCACCACTGACCCACTCTGCCCTGGTTTCCTTTGTCCATTTTTTCTGTCTTGGTTTTGCACTTTTCTCCCCTCCAGACCCTGAGATCTTGACGTCTTTGCCAAAAAACAACAAAAAAAAAAACGTGGAAGACCTCCCCTCCATTCCCAAGTCTCCTCCCCCCTTCCTCCTGGTTCTGGTCAGTTCAGAGGACCTAACAATCACAAGTGTCCTGCAAAAATGTCTGAACATTTTTCTTAGACCCCTGTAGATTTTTTTCCCTAGAAAACCTAAAGCAGACAAACAGAAGACTTATTAAAGGGATATGTACAGCTTCCCGTTCTCAGGCACTCTGAGAACATTTTAGCCATCGACGTTCACACGTGGCATCAGCCCATGCAAGATAGGTTTCTGTATTTATATATTAAAATACAAAAAAAAAAACCTTATAAAATGTTTAAAAATTGTTCAGAGCTTGGAGGAAAGCTTTCTTCATTAGTCCAGATGTTTTGATATGGTATTAAAATCATGTCTAATAAAAGATGCATTGTGTGACTTTATTTTAATGGTGGTGTTGCACAATCAGGAAATGGGGTCTAGACACCCTGTCTCCCACTCGCCCGCCCCCAGCCTTCCTTCAGGGTGCCGTTCCGGGCTGTAGGTGTGAGATGGGGTTCTCAGAGCAGTCATCCCTGGTCAGACCCCAGCCCCCCAGGTTTACTAACCTTCTCACACGCCACAGAACCGATCTGCCATCACCCGTGGAGTGGCTGTGACAAAACTGCGAGACATTCAGCGGCAAAGGTCTTCGGCCGCTGGAGGTTCCAAGGATGTGGGTTCTAGTGGGTGTCGGCCCAGCACCCCACCCTCCTGCCCCCCTCCATCCTCTGCTCTCCGTCCCGGGTCCCCGGTCCCGGGTCCTGCCTGCCTGTTGCTCAGTGCTGACTCATGGGCATGCTTCACTGAAGCCCAGAAACAGGCCCTGTTCTGGGACTAAGCCAACCCAGAGCCACACAGGGCTCACAGGAGCTGGCACAGCTCGTGCTGGGCAGGAAGCTCGGGGCAGTGGGTAACAGTGCGCGCCCGGCCTCTGTCCCTGTGCCAGGCGGGCTCCCGGAGCGGCGTGCCAGGGCCTCCTGTGGAGCCTGTGGAGGAGGCCTCTGCAGGGAGACGAGTCCACACCTTCTCTGCACTTCTCAGGCCTCCATGTGTCGCCTCTGTGGCCTCTGACCCCACCAGGCCCCGCTACGCAGCCAGCTTCTGTCAGATGCTCTGTGAGGCACCCACTCTGCAAGGGCGTTGCAGGCCCGTGGGCCAGTGTGAGCTAAGGGACAGGCACATTCAGCACATCCAGAGAAACACCGGAGAAGAGTATTTGGGTCTTGGAGTCAGACCTGAAGCGGAGACCCCGGGGACCAGCGGTCACTGTGAGTGACGGCCAGAACAGGGACTCCACACTGTCCGCATGTGGCTCCCCTGCTTCTCGGCAGAATGGCTTCCTTTGTCTAAACTTCAGATTCCTTGCATGGGGACCAAGCCATGCAGCTCAAAGGTCACCGTGAGGGTCAGGAAGTCTGCCCAGAAGCCCCTGGCACACGCATAGCAGGCTCCCTCGTAGCCTCGTCACTGCAAAGAGCATTGTTCTATTCACAGCACCGCCTGCTTCTGCCTGGCAACTGTGTCTCCCTGTTCTATATTTAATTTCTTCAGCAAAGCTGGCCCTGAAGAAGATCTCCTTGTCTGACCCCTGGGCCTGCAGGCAGAGGGCTGTATGCCCACCTCACTTGCTTAGGCCTGGTGGCCTTGGCAGCATCTCAGGTGAACTGAGTGGTTGTGTGCCAGGTGGGGCAGGGCTGGAGCCTATGCCGGGTGCTGTTCCAGGCTCCTGGGGATGCTGTTAACCGCCCCCCACCCCCAGCGACTTTGACTCCCACCCGGCACACTGCAGTCCTCCAAATCCAGACCTAAACCGCCAGCTCCTGGGGGTGAGGTGGGTGCCTGGGTATCTGTCCTCTTCCATCTGCACAGCTCTCACCCCTTGGAGGGGAGAAGATGGTGAGGAGCTGGGAGGTAGGCTGCACCCACTCCCTTTGTGGGGCTTCCTGGACCAGAGCACCTCACTGCTGTAAAGTCACCTGGTAGCATTTAATGTTGCTCAGGTTTTTAGGAGAATGTCCTTATTCTTAGGAGAAAGATGGTGAATTATGTAGGTGAATGATGCCAAGAAATATGTTGATTTCAAATAGCTTTCTTCAAAATACAGCAAATAGGACAAAAATATTCATTGTTGAATCTTCAGTGGCTGATATGTTAGTGAATAGTGTACTTGTTCTTTCAACCCTTCTGTATGTTTGGAATTTTTCCTAATAAAACGTGGGGAAATGGTCGTTTGCTGAGCACCTACTAGTTGCCAGGCAGTGGGAGATGTCAGAGGACCAGGGAGAAGCCTGCTCCTGCTGAATAGGGTGGGGGTCTAGTGAGCTGTGTCTTGAGTGGAATGCACCAGGCTGATATGTATGGGGTGGTTTGGGGAGGGAGCTAAGGGACTTGCCCCACACCACCCCGTGGCATAGCTTCTGCTCCCATCCAGGGCAGCTGGGGGACAGAAAAGTCACAGAGGAAGGGTTCCTGAAACCAAGGAGTGAGGAGTCACAGTGGGCTTCCTCTGCCCAGGGTCTGAACAGCTGATGGGAAGAGGTGAAGGGGTTGAGGGGGAAGGCAAGGAAGTAGTTGAGAAGTGGCTTGGGACAGAGAGTCAGGCTAGAAGGACGGTGACTCTGCTTGGTGGGCCAAGCCCTTTTCTTAAGGGACCAGAGGGTAAGGGAGTTGGCCCCACACAATAGGACCCTGGGACCTGCAGGGGGGTGGAGAGTTTAGAGATTGGCTAGTTGGGTGCCACTGCCCCAGCAGGTGCTGTGGTGTCTGAGCTTTTGGTGTGGGGCGCCCTCTTGTGGGCTTAGGGGGAACAACTCGTGTAGCCCAGACAGTAGCTCTGGCCTGGGATCCCAGGGCAGGAGGCACGCCACCTGGTGGATAGATTCTGACTGAGGGCAAAAAATCTGGGAGTATATCATACCCTGGAGATGTGTTATACGAGAATAATTTCACTTCCATTTCCCATGGTTGGTAGCAGCTGCCTAAAGAATATGTTCGCAATGTTCTAAGTCCCAGTTGGGACTCAGCAGATGAGTCTGCCATAGGTGATGTTGGCCATAGTCATATCCTCAGGCCCTGGGGTTCCTTTTACCAGCAGAGCAGTTGGAACAGGGACCTGGGTTCCTGGAAGTGACCTTCACTTGTAGCCTGAGCACCAGCCCCTCCCCAGGCTGCAGTAAGTCAGAGGACAGGTCTGGAATGGGGATGGGGGTGTCACTGGCCAAATGACCTGGGAGGAGTAGAGGCAGGCACCGCCTGCTCATCTCCAGACAGCCACAAAAGGGGTTCCAGTTCATTTGGGGGCCCCAAAGAGAACTATCAAGGTCCCTTCCCACGTGAAAGGAGCATGTCAGCAGGCAGATGGAGTAGGGCAAAGGGTGCTTAGTTCCTTGGGCTTTGTCCAGGCTTCCAGCAGTAGGGAGGCCTGGATGGAGGGGAGTCCTTGTGGTGACCCACGCCAACAGAACGGGATGTGTAAGAGAGCAGAGGAAACAGCTTCACCAGGAGTGACTCTGAGCCGTTTAATGGACCAAAGGCTCCCGAGGACGGCCAGGGGGCCAGGGAGGAGCCAGGCCTTTAGACTTCTTTCCCATTCTGTGGCCTCGGTCGCCTTCAGATAGGAGGCGAAGGCAGAGCTGTTCTGTGGTATGAAGACAGAGTCCAGATAGGCTGTTCCATTGGCCTTGTGGGCCATGTGCTGGGAGCCCCTCACAGCACCTTGCCTGGGTTCATGAGGCCTCGGGGGTCCAGCATGGCCTTGAGCTGCCGCATGGTCTCCATACCCACAGTGCCTACCTCGTCCTGCAGCAGCTGCCGCTTGCCCAGCCCAATGCCATGTTCCCCAGTGCATGTCCCGTGGAGTGCCAGTGCCCGCCTGGGAACAGCAGAGAAGAGACCGTCAGCTGGGCGTTCCTCCCACTCCTGTCAGTCTCCCCCCACCACCCTGGCCCAGGCTTTGCTCTTGCCTGCCCAGCTGGTGAGTGAAGGCTTCAACCCTGCGGAGCTCCTCGGCATCCTCCGGGTCTACCGCCAGGATGCAGTGGAAGTTACCGTCGCCCACGTGTCCCACAATGCATCCTGGAGGGCCCAGAGGACAGAGCTGCTGCCCTCAGCCCAGCTTTCCACCCTCCCCTCCCGGACTCCAGCAGTGGGCAGGCAGAACCTGTGAGCCCCGAGGCCTTCAGGTCCTCCTTGGTCTGCACCAGGATCTCCGGCAGCCGGGAGATGGGAACACAAACATCCGTGGCATAGCCCTAGATAGAAGGCAGGCCCTCAAGTTTCTCCCCTCATCCCCAGCCTAGAGGTAAGGGGTCCCTGGGGGTCAAGGTCTTAGAGAGCTTGGCCTCTCACACATAAACTTGTCTGCCCTTTAGGCCTCAGTTTCCCTTGTGCAACAAGACGATGGCTGGGGTATGTTCTCCAGGCACTGCCAACAGCGACTTCCACAGCTCTGTCCTCGCTCCCCACCGGCCAGTGCCTTCCCTTCCATTTCCCACACCCCACCTTCCCTGTGCCCACAACCTGGCTCAATGCAGAGGCTCCCTCCCCAGGGTTTGGCAGATGGCTGCTTTCCTCTAGATACTGAGGAACAGCTGGGTGGGAGCAGTCCTGCCCACTCTGGGCCTCGGCCTGCTATCCGCACACCAGCCCAGTCGGCTGAGCACAGGGCCTGTGGGCTCAGCTGCGGGTCCTGCCTCCCCCAGCCCAGCTCACCTTGCTGCCCGGCCGCAAGGCCAGGGCTGCGTACCAGGCATTGTGCCGGGCAGCCCAGAGCCGGCTGCGCTGCTCTGCCTCCTTGGCCCAGGAGAAGTGGGAGGCTCCATTGTCCTGGGTGATCTTCTCTGTGGGGACAGGGCAGTTGACACCAGGCCCTGCTCTGGGCAGCCCCTGCCCCCTGCCCCACAGCACCTCTCATACCTGCCTGCTGCACCTGCTCTGCCAGTGCCTGCTCGGAGCCGTGGAACTCGAGGAAGAGAGTGGGTGCCACAGGGCAGTTCAGTTTGCTGTGCCTGTTGCAGGCTTCTATCATGACCTCATCCAGGAACTCTGGGGCCAAGGAGAGGGCAGGTGAGATGAGGGCTAGTCTTCAAAGGGGGCCTCTTCTGGGGAGCCCACCTGGACTGCCCAGTTCCCATCTCACCAATGCGGGCCACGGGGACTGCAGCATGGAGGATGTGCACAGTGCTATCCACAGCTGCCTGGACACTGGGGAATGCACAGGTGGCAGCCACTGTGGCCTCGGGGACAGGATGCAGGCGCAGGGTGGCGGCTGTGATGAGACCCAGTGTCCCCTCCGAGCCCACAAACAGCCCAGTGAGGTTGTAGCCAGCTGCGCTCTTCCTGGGTCCCCAGGGACACACAAGGTAGGTGAGTGCCCAAGCCATGACAGCGGGTTTCCCATCAGAAGCCTGGAGCTAGAAGCTGGGGCACCGTGCCCACCCTCGCCTCCTGCCAGGCGGGGTGCTGAGCCCGAGGTCTGCACTAGCCCCCTCAACCCAGGCCGCTGTCCAGGCAGATGTTCCCCAGCACAGCCCATGTGGGCCTCGTGCAGGAACAGACCCCACCACCGTCAGCTTTGTCCCGAGTGACCGTTTCAGAAGCCTGGCCCACCCAGGAAGGAGGTCCCGGTCCCTGTGGGCAGAGGCTGCTCACCGGAAGTGACGGCCCTGGCCCGCGGTGTGGAGCACCTGCCCGCCGGGAAGCACCACCTCCAGGTTCAGCACGTTCTCCCGGGTGGTGCCGTAGCGCACGGTGTTGGTGCCCGAGGCCGCAGTGGCCGCCATGCCACAGAGAGAGGCGTCCGCACCGGGGTCTGCGGAGCAGAGGGCAGGTGGAAGGCTGCCTGGGGGCGGGCGCCCAGGGACAGAGGGGTCCCCTCAAGCCCCAGAAAAAGTCCTCCCTCCAGGGAGCCCTCAGGGCCCCAAGGAAGGGCCGCAAGTCCCAGCCTACCCACAGGAAACCAGAGGCCACAGTCCCGCAGGTGGGTGTTGAGTGCTTTGCGGGTGACGCCGGGTTCCACCACCACAGAGAAATCTTCTGGACTGAGCGCCAAGATGCGGTCCATGTGGGTCAGGTTGACACAGACACCACCCTGGAGGGAGGGGTGCCAAGGGGCCTGCTGGCCTAGTTTTTCTGCCAGGCCACAGTCCCCAGGACCCCAACCTTGAAGCTGACCTCCCAGCAGCCAGACCAGAGCTTCAGAAAAGCAGGTAAAGGGGATTAAACCTGGGCACCCAAGCTGTGTGTGGCGGAGGGAGTACCACAGGCAGGATGCCGGTGGTGGGTCAGAGCCTGGCCCAGGAGGGGCCACCGTACCTGCATGGCACAGACTCCACCTTCGAGCCCAGTGCCGGTGCCAAAGGGGATGATGGGAACACCTTGGTGGTAGCACAGGGCCACCAGGCGGCTGACCTGCTCCACGTTCTGGGGCCACACCACAGCATCCGGAGGATGGCACCTAGAACCAGACCCTCGGCAGTTTAGGGGGCAAAGGACTCTCTGGTCCTGCTCACATTTCAAGGATCCTCAAGGAGTTACAGGGCCTGGGGCAGCGCAGTGGGACAGGGTGTGGGGGAGAGAGTGCCAGACGACCCTGGGACAGAAGGGTGGGGAAGAAGCCGGCCCAGAGCCCTCCATCCCAAAGGCTGGAGCCCCACACCTGTGCATCGACTCATCGTGCCCGTGCTGTTCCCGGGCACTGGCAGCAGTAGACACGTGGGAACTCCCCACAATTGCCTTCAGGGCCTCCACAAAGTCCTTGCTGAGTCTGCCCTGCAGGGAAGAAACACCTTGCCAGCTGGGGCCACAGGGGTAGGCGGGTGGCAGGGGTGGGGCTGGAGGGGAAGGGACTGCCAACATCTCCGGTCTCCTTGGCCTCCTCTGGCCTCATCAGCCGACACCACCTCCAAGGCCAGGCCTGGCCAGGCCCCCCAGGAGCAGCCCCGCTCTACGAGTATGCCCCTTCCCAAACACAGCCTCGGGGAAACTGCTACCTGGATGAAAATACGAACCACATTCACTCTACAAAAAGCGGCGTCCTGCCTGTGGGACCTGGAGGTTACTCATCTCTGTCCCTTCCCAGAGGCCGGCCAGGCACACACAGAGCTCGATAACGGACGGACAGGAAGCGAAAGTTGGCGGGCTAACTGTTGCCCACCACCTGCAGCGCCCCCACCCCCAATGCACCTCACCTGGGGGCTCGTAAGCTTCCGGGAGCCCTTCCGGGGATTTCTCCCAATTTTACAGATGGCGAATGGACACCAGCCGGTTGAGGACAGCCTGGCCGAGAAGCCAAGTCCTTGCTTCCCAGGCACTTATTCAAAAGGTGTACATCTGGCCCCCTGCTGCCCACGAACCTTTCATTGGCACCCCGGGGCCCCGCTCAGCTGTGGGAACCTCGGCCCATCTCACTCCACACCCACACTTGACACACCATGAACCCACTGATCCTCTGCTCAAGGTCACACGGTGCTGGGGCCTCACAGAGCCTGGCGGGAGCTTGGCATGGGGTGGCCCACCCTGCAGGGGGCTTCCCCTGCCTACCTGCCTTACTCTGGAGCAGTAGCCCCTCCAGGGAAATAGCCCCCAGGTTGCTGCAGCCCAGAGCAGCATAGCTGGGCAGCCGTTAGAGGGTGTGGGCTGTGGGCATTTAAGCTGCACCAGCTCGTTGGCTGTGCTCAGAGTGAAGCTTGCTTAAGGTGGCACTCCTTAAGGTGGTCCTGCCAGAACTTGCTGAGTCAGGTATGTCTGCCAGGACCAGTACTTCCAAAGGAAGGTGAGGCTTTCTTAACATGAAGGGAAACGGAATAGCAGGGCTTCCCATGGTTCTTCAAAGCCAGACTCCTTGTCATGGCCTTAAAGGCCCTGCTAGTTCCTGCTGACCTCTCCATGTACCCCTGCAGAATTCTCCATGTAACCCACTTCCTTTCAATCTCCGTGGCCTCAAAGCTCTGGCTTTGTTTTGTCTTCCTGTGTACCTGGAACTCCAGCCAGGCTCAGGGCCTTGACACACACACTTGTCTTTCTCACCCTGCAAGTCTCAGCTCCAGTGTCGCAGAGCAGGCAAAATCAGGGCTGTGAGGAGGGAAAGGGCAGGGGGTGGGTTGGAGTGGGGCAGTAAGGTAAGCCAGGAAGCCTTCCTGGAAGAGGGGAGCTAAGGATGAGCAGCAGTTCACCAGAGAAGTGAAGGAAAAGACTGCTGCCTCTTTTTCATTTCCACCCTCCCAACTGGGCAGATCTGAGGACCATCCTGGAGGGATGTGGCTTCTGCTCCTGACGGCTTTTCAAGCTCAGTTTCCCTCCCACAGCAAATTTGAAGGAGCATGTTGCTAACATTACTGAGATAAAGCTATTCCTATCTTTGTTTTTCTTCCAAACTGAATTAGAAATACAAACACCTGTTTAGGCCCTTCTCCCCAACCACATTTGAATGAGTACACATTTCCACTCTCACTGTGTTGCTTACCTGGCTCGTCTCCAAAACACACCTCTTTCACAGATGGTTAGTTCAAATCGCAATCCAGTGAAAGTCCACAAAACGCATTTATTTAATGCCTCATAAATCTCTTTCCATTTGCAACTGTTTCCCTCTTGCCCTTTTTTCCGTGCTATTTATTTGTGAAAGAAACTGGGTCACTTGTTCTGCAGAATTTTCCACATTCCATTTTCAGATGATTGTATCCCCGTGATATTGTTTCATTTATTTCTCTAATCTTGTATGTATTACAAATTGCTAGATCTCGATGTGGCGCTCTCCAGTACAACTTTCTGTGCTGAGGGAAACCTTCTATATCCGTGTTTCCCAATATGGTAGCCATTAGCCTCATGCGGCTAATGATATGAGAGCTGTCTATCTCTGGTTGGGGAGTTGCCAGGTAGAGAGCATGGCAAACCCTAAAAGAACCACCATGTAGTTCCCTAAGGTTCTGGAGCAGAGCCATGACAGTGTGTGCGCACAGTGCACAGGTATATGGGCCAGTGCAGTATATACACTGGCAGCCATTTATTTGTGTGTGCAAATAAATATATAGCATTTTAAAAACTGACCCTGGCCATAGCTCATGTGGCTAAGTCGTTGGAGCGTACTTCCATAGACTATAAGGTCACAGGTTTGATTCCCAGTCAGGGCACATACTCAGGTTGCAAGTTTGATCTTCAATCAGGGCCCATATGTGAAGGCAACTAACTGATGTTTCTCTCTTACATCAGTGTTTCTCTCTCCCTCTCTCTCTTTCTCTTCTCTCCTTCCTCCCTCCCCTACCACCTCTCTTAAAAAGAATATCCTCAGGGTAAGGATAAAATAATATATAAATAAGCAATAAAATAAATAAAAAGCCTCCCCTAGCCTACTACTAGGTCCTGGTTAAGGTGGTGACTGTGGTTCCAAGACCTCAAGTGACCATGTGGCCAAAGCTGGTCATCATGAGCTGCATTCTGTCAGACCTAGCGAGTCATAGAGTCAGGCTGGCCCAAAACAATCCATCCTGGATGAAAGGGGAACACACAAAGTGGGGTGCAGGCAGGGCCAGAGGGCAAAGCAAGCTGCCTGAGCAGGTAGGCCAGGCCCCCATGTCACCCCCCCATTGCTTGGCCAACACTTGTCCCTCAGCTCACCCTGTGGCCATACAAAGAAACTCTTATGACCAGCTGATAGGGAAGGAAAAGTTCAATTTGATTCACAAATGGATTGGCTCAATATGAGCATGTAAGCTGAAAATGGACTAATGCTGCCCTGCAGCTCCACTTGGAGGTCCCCCTGAAATCCTCCCAGTTGGCAAAGCTCTCGGTCATGCACCTGGTCACTTTTCCTTTTTGTAGAAAGGAACGTGGCCTGACAAAGGAATATATACAGGCCCATGGGCAATGGTGAATGGTTTAGCTGGCTGGTCAGAGGCCCGTAAGGAGAAAGGTTGGAAAATTAGGGTCAAGGAGGTTTGGGAAGAGGCATGTAGTTGGAGCTATAAAAGTAGGTACAAAGTGAGATCTTTGTCACCCAATCTGATACATGTTAACACCCAACAGAGAACACCTACCATGCAAGAGACTAAATAAAATAGACAGCAAGAGTTAGCCAGTTGTCATCAGCCTGGCTTTGTCAGTAGCCACCGCAATGAGGGCATAATAATAGTCGCAATACAGACTAGTGATGCGCCCACCAGCATGGGCACCCGCTCACTAAGGCCGATCTAGCTACTGCCACTGCTGAGGGTCTGTCTACCCTACTGCAACCCTGGCTTCCTGACATGGTACCATTCCTCAGGGAGACCAGCCACTCATATCTTGTGGTAACCAGTTGATTACATTCCACTTGGGAAGGGGAGCAATTTATCTTGACTGAAATCAGCACAACACATATTAGGGCTATAGGTCTGCCTCTCCTGCCTGCATGGCCTCAGCTAGCCCTTCTCTCTGAAGGCTCCCAGTGTCTGATCCACCTACATGGTATAACACATAACGTCACCTCAGGCAAAGTGACTCACTTTTCCACAAAGGAGGTGTAGCAGTGGTCTTCACCACTGACCGGGGAATTCACGAATTCTATTGTCTATTGAAAAGATGGAGCCGGTGTCATTTGCTGTCATGGCACCCTCTGCTGAGCAGGCCTACGACCTGCTTGTTAAACATAATTGCCGTTTTACTCTTCTGAGCTTCTGTCCCCGGAACTAGAACATGACTGCAAAAGTAAGAAAAGAACATGAGTAACCACACTCCACAGTCGCAGGCAAAAGTTAACATTGGAGCAAACTGCAACTTACGCAAACAGCCAAAACCCGCTGTGTTGCAACACCTCTAACAGCTCAGCAGCCACATCACAGCAAACCCCGCCCCCCAACCCTCTACAATCCAATAAAAGCTCAAGACCCCAGTCTCTCAGGGCTGGTGCATTTCTCTGTGCTAGTCCCCTTTTCTCTCTTGGAAAGTGAACACAACTTTGCTCTCTGCATTTTCCTCTCTGTGTGAATTTTTTCACAGCCATGTCAATAGCCATCCTAATATCCGCCTCACCATGTGGAGCCACCAACTTCACAGAGACAGAAGGAACGGCTTTGGAAGGTGCAGCTAAGGCATCATCTCAGAGATGCCCCTAGTCAACCATAGTGCCAGAAGAGGAAAACTTTTTTTATATGAATAACAAATAAAGGGTGGGCCTCTATGTTATTTTTAACTTTTTTATTTTGCAATGATTTCACATTTACAGAAAAATGGAAAAAATACTAGAGAGTATATACTCTTTACTTAGCTTTCACTAGTACTGACATCATAGATAACCATAGTACAATGATCAAAAATAAGAACTGGTGAAATACTAATTGGTACCGTTGGAGAACTACAGATTGGATTTCCCCTGATTTTCCACTGACATCCTCTTGTGTCGGTGGGGGAGAGGGCTGGTTTGTTTGCTTGGTGCAGGACCTTATCCAGCATCACCCACTGTATGTAGCTGTCTGTCTCCTGCAGTCCGTGACAGCTCCCCACTGTTTCCTGCTCTTTCTGACCTTAACGTTTGCAGCACTATCAGTTCCTTTATAGAATGTTCCTCAATTTGGGCTGTCTGACACTTTCTCAAGAGATTGAGGTCACGTGTTTTTGGCAAGACTACCAAAGAGGTGATGCGCGCCTCTCAGTACGTCGGTCGGATCAGCAGTGTAAGATGTTGCTGTTTTGTTACTCTGATGTTAACCTGGATTGCTTAGGTTAGATGGTGTCTGTGGGGTCTCTGTCCTGTCAAGTTGCTCTTTTTCTCTTTGAATTTAATTAATATACTGAGGGAGATTCTTTAAGACTTTGAGGCTCTGGCCAAAGAAAAATCACCCAGTCAGCCTCAGTTGAAGAGGTGGGGAAGTAGATTGCACCTTCTGATAAGAAAACCTGCAAAGTCATGTTGCAAGGGGTGTGGACACAGGTGGGCTGTTCACTGGGGCCACTTCTCTTTCATAATGACCTCCAAATCACACCGAGATACTGAGTTCTCCTGAGACAGGAATAGCTTCCTTCATGCTGTTTGGCAAACATGGCCAACAGCTGGCCCAAAAGACATGACTGTGCATAACGGAGAGGATAACTCCACCTCAGAGTTCTTCACTATTGCTTTTCTAGAAAAACAAAACAAAATAAAATACAAAACGGTTTCCCATGGTATGAAAAAGTTTTCCCCCACAGTTAATTTATGTCAAAAATAAGGGAAAAGAGAACATGAGAGACTCACTTTTCTCCATATCAGGAGAATGTTTGCAGGCTTCCTACTTTGTAATGTTGCCATGAGAAAAATAGATTGGAGGCCACTTCCTAGAGCCTCAGGTGAGGAGGGGAAAGCCGTCATTCGGTGCCATGCTTTCCCATCATCTCAGGTACAACAGAGGGAGGCAGATCAGAGGGAGTGGTGTTATCTGACTTTGGAAATAATCCAAAGAAAGGAACATCTGCCAGGAGAGATCTGATTAGGGATCCTAATGTCTGATCAAGGAAGGAGCCTTGGCTCAAATGCACGTGCTCAGTAAAGACTTCTCTATCCGCTCTATTCAAATCTGCACCTCCACCCGTCGCCACCTCGCTGCCAGCACCCTTGATATGAACTCCTTAGTGGTGGATGTCACCTGACATGCTGTAAGTCTGCCTCACTTAGTGCTTATTGCCTGGTCTCCCAATTAGAATGCGTGCTCACAGCTGCGCCCTAGTATAGTGCCTGCCACCTAGAAAATGCTTGACAAATCTTGATTGCCCGAATGCTGAATAAAAGAGTAGGAAATAGCCCTGGCCAGTAGCTCAGTTGGTTAGAGCATCATCACGATATCCCAAGGTTGTGGGTTAGAGCCCCGGTCAGGGCACATATAAGAATCAACTAATGAATGCATGAATAAGTGGAACAACAAATTGATATTTCCCTCTCTCTTTTTCTCTCTCCCCCCACTCCTCTGTCTCTCTAGAATCAATAAATAAAAATTAACAAAATTTAAAAAAGAGTGTGAAATAAAGAGGGAAAGGGGAGAAACTGGAACCCACCACTCATTTTAAGACCTGGCAAGGAGTGGGGTATCACTGCTAACATTTGGCCAAACTTCTTAACCTTTGCCCTTCTAACGATCAGAGTCTAGATGAAGAAACCGAGAAATTCACAATTAAAATGTAAGATTATCAGGAAAATCTGCCCTGGTTGGTGTGGCTCAGTGGATTGAGTGCTGGCCTGTGAACCAAAGGGTCGCCGTTTTGATTCCCAGTCAGGGCACATGCCTGGGTTGCAGGCCAGGTCCCCAGTGGGGGCCACGTGAGAGGCAACCACACATTGATGTTTCCTTCTCTCTTTCTCCCTCCCACCCCCTCTATAAAATAAATAAATAAAATATTTTTTAAAAAGATTATCAGGAAAGTTTACCATTTTTAAGTGTGCAGTTCAGTGGCATTAAAGGCATTAGCACTGCTGTGTAGCTGTCAGCACTGTCTCTCTTCAGAACTTCGTCATCATTCCAGACAGAACTTTTCATCATCCCAGGCCTCCCTCCCTCCAGTCCCTGGTGTCTCTGTTCTACTATCTCTTTCTATGAACTTACTGTACGTGGAATCAGACAATATTTGTTCTTTTGTGTCTTGCTTATTTCACAAGGTTCATGCATGCTGTAACATGCACCAGAACTTCATTCTTTTTTGGCTGAGTTATATACATCACATTCATCTATCCATTCTTCTGTTGGTGGACACTTGGATTGTTTCCATCCACCTTTTGGCTATTGTGAATAATGTTACGAACACTGGTGTACACGTACCCCCTTTTTTAGATAAGAGAGTCATATTTATTTCTCCAGTGCCATATTTACAATTGAATATAAACTAAAGGCCTATTTGCACGTTGACACCAGGTCCTTAGTGTGGTTCAGTCAAAGAGGTGAGACCCTCAGCTGGCTCAGCACAGAAGTATCCACTCTTTGGCCCAGGTTTTGTAATTGTATCAGCCTTGAGCTCCTCAGTAATTTCTCCAATATCCCTGGGCTTCAGGTCCTCATAGTAGTTGTCATTTATTTGAACCGTTGGTGCATTTACACCAGTCCCTAAACATTGCACCTCTGTAAGAGTGAAAAGTTTGTCAGGTATAGGCTCCCCAACCTTTATTCCAAGATGCTTCTGAATGGCCTGCAGGATGCTGTCAGAGTTTTGAAGCATGCAAGGTTGAGTGGTACAGACCTGAAGGCAGCACTTTCCTACTGGCTTTGGATTGATTATACATTGCATAAAAAGTCGCTACTTCATATACTCTCTTTGGAGGCACTCATAAAACTCCTGCAACCTGGCTCATAGCTGAAATGGGCAGCCATCCATTCGGCCTTTTGGATTAACCAGGACGAGAAGCACAGCTGCTGCTTTATGCCTTCGGGATACCTTCTGCAGAGTTTTTTACAGTCACCTCCATCCTCTTCTAGTTTCCTGGTGTGAAATCAAAGGGAGTATCTGAGTTATTCCCAAGAGTATCTCTGTGCACAAGAAGGGCTCCTCCAGCTCCATTTCGTGCGACTGTCTTGTGCCGATTCCTTGTGTGTCTCCCCATCCCCAGGCGGTGAGGCCAGCCCCGGGGGCCGGAGCCCTGTGGAGAAGAGTACAAGTATGTTTTTGACACTGGATAAATTTTTTTTTGACACTGGATAATTTTTTAATAAGATTTTATGTATTTCTTTTTAAAAATATTTATTTATAGACAGAGGGGAAGGGAGGGAGAAAGAGCAAGAGAAACATCAGTGTCTGGTTGCCTCTCATGTTGTCTCCTGGGAACCTGGCCTGCAACCCAGGCATGTACCCTCACTGGGAATCGAACCAGTGACCCTTTGGTTCACAGGCTGGTACTCATTCCATTGAGCCACACCAGCCAGGGCTATTTATTTCTTTTCAGAGAGAGGAGAAGGGAAAAAGAGACAGAGAGAAACACCACTGTGTGTTTGCCTCTCATACATCCCTTACTGGGGACCTGGCCCTGCAATTCAAGCATGTGCCCTAACTGGGAATTGAACTGGCAACCCTTCGGTTTGCAGGCAGGCACTCAACACAGTGAGCCACACCAGCCAAGGCTGTATATTGTTTTAATTGAAAGCTTGTTGCTACCACTACACACCTATTAGAATGGCCAAAATCCACAACGTTGACACCACCAAATGCTGACAAGGATGTGAAGCAACAGAAACATTCATTGCTGGGGGGAAGGCAGAATGGTATGGACACTTTGGAAGACGGTTTGGTGTTTTGTTTTGTTTCTAAGCAAAACTAAACATATTCTTATTGCATAATCTAACAATCATGATTTTGGTATTTACCCAAATGAGTAACTTATTTTATGTCCACACAAAACCCTGTCCGTGGATGCGTATAGCAGCTTTATACATAGTTGTCAAAACTTGAAAGTATCCCTGGCTGGTGTAGCTCAGTGGATTGAGCGTGGGCCCTCGAACCAAAGGATTAAGGTTCAATTCTCAATCAGGGCACATGCCTGGGTTGCAGGCGAGTTCTCAGTGGGGGACACATGAGAGGGAACCATACGTTGGTATTTCTCTCCCTCTCTCCTTCCCTTCCCCTCTAAAGATAAATAAATTTTAAAAAATTAAAGAAAAAACTTGAAAGTAACCAAGCTGTCTGACAGGTGAATGAATAAACTGTGGTACATCTGGACAATGGGATTTTTTGTGTGTGTACAAGAGATACATCACTCAGTTGCCTCTCACATTCCCCCAACTGGGGACCTGGCCAGCAACCCAGGCATGTGCCTTGACTGGGAATCAAACCAGTTTCAGTTTGCAGGCCAGCACTCAATCCACTTAGCCACACCAGTCAGGGTGGGATATTTTTCAGTGCTACAAAGAAATGAGCCCTGAAAAAGACATGGAGAAGCCTTAAATGCACATTACTAAGTGAAAGAAACCAATCTGAAAAGACTACATATGGTATGATTCCAACTATTTTATATTCTGGAAAAGGCAAAAACTGTGAAGAAAATAAACTGATCAGTGGTTGCCAGGGGCTCAGGGAAAGGAGGGAGGAAAGAATAGATGGAGCATAGGGGATTTTTAGGGTAGCGAAACTATTCTGTACTACATTATAGTGATGGATACATGTCATTACATTATTTGTCAAAGTCCATAGAATGTACAATGCCAAGAGTGAACCCTAATGTAGACTACAGACTTTGGGTGATGTGCCAGTATACATTTAATTGTAGCAAATGTGCCACTTCAGCAGGGGATGGTCATAGTGGAGGACGCTCTACATAGGTGGGGTCAGGTGGGATACCTGAACTCTCCGTACCTTCTCAAATTTGACTGTGAACCTAAACTGCTCTAAAAAAGAAAAAGAAAAAAAGCTAGTTGCAGCACATGATACGTTTATGGCCAATTTTATTTTTAAGGGTGTGAATTTAACACAGTTATCTTTGAAAAGTGAGATTATGGGTATTTGCTTTCCTTTGTTTTATATATATAGTCTATTTCAAATACAGATATCATAGATTACCTGTGTAATCTTTAAAAGACGGGTTTTTGTATTGGGGGGAGATGGTGATTGGAAATTAGACACTGATCTGGGGGAAATGGATACTCTTAGTCAAAGGAATATCGTGGCCAGGGCTCAGCTGAACGGATAAACAAGGCGAAGACTTTCCTGAGAATGCCCACAGCATGGCCCCACAGGCTTATGGGAAATGTAGTCTCAAAGACCTGATGGCCCACTCCTCGAAGGACCCTGGGACAGCAAGCAGTCCCTACATCTGCGCATGTGCACGGCTGCGAGCGCGCCGGTGGCCGCCCTTCCCCCACCGCTACCCGTGAGTGGGTCACTGGGCCCCGGTTTTCGGGCTTCTTCGCTGTCCCGCGCTGCGACAGTGCCTGACACTGAGGCACGAATAGAGACTGCCCTTCTAGGTATGAGGGGCCGCTGCTAGGCAACTCCGCGGGGCCCGGGGGCAGAGGGGAAGGAGATGCAGGATGGGCTCGTGCCCGCGCAGGGTGGGATCCCAAACTTCGGCGACTCATTGGAGGCAGTGACCCTCGGGGCTGTATCGAGGGGCCGTCGGCGCTCTTCGCGGCGTAGGGTTGGCGGGGCCCGCCAGGCCGGACGTGCGAGGGCGGGGACGGCGGAGGGGTCGGGCGTCTGCGAGTCTCGCCTTCCTCTCTTTGTCCGGAGAAGTGCCTCCGACCTACGGCGAGGGTCTGGCAGTGCTGGAGGGAGTCCGGAAGTCCGTCGGAGAGCGCGCCTGGCTAGGCCGGGCTAGTGTGGAGCGAGGCCAGGGGCGGGGCCGGACACACCTGGCTGCACTCAGCGCCGCGTGCGTGCGGCGTCCCCGAGCCACGCTGGGTGGAGGGAGACTTGAAAGGCCCAGCCAAGTTTTCGATGCACGCAACGTCTGGAGTGAATAAGTTCCGACCTCCTCGCTAGATCCTTTTATGTTAAGTGTTCACCTAATCCTCGCACCTACCTTGCGGGCTTCGCTAGTATAGCAGTTTCAAGAGAAGGAAAACCGATGGTCACAGAGGTGAAGTGATTTGCCCAGGTCACGCAGTCAGCTGGTACTTTATGTTTTGTGAGTGGCAAACCTTTTTTCATTTGCCTTTTGAAGGTTCTCACTGATAGTTTTTGCCATGCAGGCATTTTGAATTTCTCCAGTTGAGTTTACTGCTCTTCTCTTTTGTGGCACTCAAAGCCTTCACCACTTTGAGATTATATCGGTTGACCAAAAAGTTCGTTTAGTTTTTTTCCTTAAGATGGCTCTAGTAGTGCTTAGGTGTCTTGAACTTTATTTTAAACAATATTGTTAGATTGTATTTTGACAGCTGACATATCAGCGTGCATTAAAAAAACATAAAAATTGGTGAATTTTTGTGCAGCCATTTTAATACTGAAGATGGAAGAAGATATGCAGCATTTTCAGTGTATTGTGCTGTATTATTTCAAGAAAGTTAAAAGGCTCAACTGAAATGCAGAAAATTTGAGCAGTGCATTGAGAAGGTGCTGTGACTAGTCCAACGTGTCAAAGGTGTCTTGCAGAGTTTCTTGGTACTATTGACATTTTGGGCAAATAATTCTTTGCTTTGGAGCTGCCTAATGCATTGGAAGATGTTTAGCAGCACCCCGGGCCTCTGTGCACTAGAAGGCAATAGCAGGAGATAGCCAACGTGCTAAAAATATCCAGATCAGTAAAGTTGTTGGTGAAAATGAAAACTCTGTTCTATTTTATCAAAAAAAACTAAATGGACTTTTTAGCCAACCCGATACAAGTTTTCTGATGAGTCCCAGTGGTACTTCAGAATCTTTTTTTTAAAAACTATCTGATATTCTTTCTGTGATCCAGTTAATGGATACATTTGCTGATACTCTTACTGTGATCCCAGTAATGGTTACATTAAATTAGGGGAATGTACACCCTTATGATGTTGGGCCTTACTATAGGCCTTCCCATTTGTTCATGTCCTCTTTTGTTCTGCTCCCCACCAGCAGTATTTTATCATCTTCATAAAGGAATTTCATTTTCCTTAATTTCATTCTTATATAGTATTTTACTGCTATTGAAGATGGAATTTTTCCATTATTTTATCTTTTTTCTTTTGTGTTTGAGATCTCCTATTTTTCAATTTTGTATATTTGAGATTTGCCTTTTTCCTCTTAATTAGTGTAGCTAATGGTTATCTATGTTGTTACAAAATAACTTTAAAATGTCTGTAGTGTCTGTAATGTCTCCTTGATCATTCTTGATATTTGTTATTTGTGTTCTTTTTTTTTTCCTGCGGCAAGTTTGGCTACAGGCTTGTTGATATTAATCTTTTTACATAACCAGCTTTTGGTTTCACTGAATTTCTCTGTATTGATTTTTTGTTTTCAGTGTCATTAAGTTTTGCTCTTACCTTTATTATTTCCTTCCTTATACTTGCTTTGTGTTTAATTTATTTCCATTACTTATTTGTAATTCTGTTGTTTAATTTCCAGAGGAAATTGAGGACTTTGAGGAAATTTGAGGATTTTCTAGATCTTTCTGTTATTGATTTCTACTTTAATTCTGCTTTCCAAAGAATATGATCTCAAATTTCAGTTCTTTAAAACTTACTGGCATTCGTTTTATGGTGAAAATACGATTTATTTCAGTGAATGTTTCCTCTGTACTTTAATGACTGTTGTGCTGCTGGTGGGTCATTCTTCTGGAAATACTAAATGGGTCAGGGCAGTCGATACTGTGCTTCAATTGTTTCGTATCCTTTGTGGGTTTCTTTTTTTTTAATTTTTTTATTGATTATGCTGTTACAGTTGTTCTATTCCCCCCTCCATTCCCCTCCACCCTACCCCCCCATCCCCACCATTACCCCCCCTTTAGTTTATGACCATGTGTCTCAAGTTCTTTAGATTCTGTATTTCCCATGCTAATCTTGCCCCCCCCATCTATTTTCTATCTACTGTCTATGCTACTTATTTTCTGTACCTTCTCCCCCCTTCTCCTCCTCCCTCTCCCCTGTTGCTAACCCTCCTTGAGATCTTCATTTCTATGTTTCCACTCCTGCTCTAGCTGACCTTTTAGTTTGCTTTTGTTTTAGGTGTGGTTGTTAATAACTGTGAGTTTGCTGTCCTTTCACTGTTCATGTTTCTTTAACTTCTTTTTCTTAGATAAGTCCCTTTAACATTTCATATAATAAGGGCTTGGTGATGATGAACTCCTTGAATTTGATCTTATCTGAGAAGCACTTTGTCTGTTCTTCCATTCTAAATGAAAGTTTTGCTGGATAGAACAATCTTGGTTGTAGGTCTTTGGTTTTCATGACTTGGAATACCTCTTTCCAGCCCCTTCTTGCCTGTAAGGTCTCTTTTGAGAAATCAGCTGACAGTCGATGGGAACTCCTTTGTAGGTGACTGTCCCCTTATCTCTTGCTGCTTCTAGGATTCTCTTCTTCATTTTAATCTTGGCTAATGTAATGATGATGTGCCTTGGTGTGTTTCTTCTTGGGTCCAACTTCTTCTCTGAGCTTCCTGGATTTCCTGGAAGTCTATTTCCTTTGCCAGATTGGGGAAATTCTCCTTTATTATTTGTGCAAATAAGTTTTCCACTGGTGGCTGTGCCTTTCCCCCTTCTGGTACCCCTATAATTCGGATGTTGGAGCGTTTAAAGATGTCCTGGAGGTTCCTAAGACTCTCATTTCTTTGAATTCTTGCTTCTTGACTCTTTTCTGTTTGGCCATTATTTGCTTTCTTCTGGTCCACTCCATTGATTTGAGTCCCAGTTTCCTTTTCATTGCTATTGGTTTCCTGTGCAATTCCATTCATTTCAATTAGTTTCACCTTCATATATTTGTCTAATTTGTGGGTATAATCAACCAGTTCTGTGAGGATCCTGATGACCAGTGTTTTAAACTGTGTGTCTGAGAGTTTTGCTATTTCTTCATCGCTTAGATTTATAGGCTCTGGGGCTTTGAGATCTTCTTGAGCCATTTTTGGTCTGTTCGTGCCCTTTAAGTGTGAGGAGCGGAGCCCTGGACTCCCAGGTGGCTGGGTTATGAAGCTGTATGTGGAGGCGGGGTCAGAGCAGGGAAATGGCGGCGCCCTCCACTGCCGCTCTCCGCGGGGATCCGCTGGGTCCCGGTCCAATCGCCCACTCCCTCGCTTGTCTATATGCGCGACCACAGTCAACCCGCAGCCCTGCTCCCTTGCTGTTTCCCCGCAGTGGCTCGCTTGGTCGCTCACTAGGTCCCACCCTGCGCCTGGATTCCGCGCACCTGCGTCCCTCTGACCGAGTTTTCCTGTGCAACCCGGCTCCGCCAGTTGCTGGTTTTGCCCCTTACCAGTCAGGCTGAAGAATTTGTTGTTAACAGACTTCCGAAAAGTTCAATTTTCTGTGTTCTGGCTGTGTTTTCTATTGCTAATATTTAGTTGTCTCTAAACTTGGTTGTGTGAGAAGGCACGGTATATCCACCTATGCCTCCATCTTGGCGGAAGTCTCCCTTTGTGGGTTTCTATCTGTTCTGTTACTGAGAAAAGAGTCTTGAAGTCTCCACTATAATTATGGGTTTATCTCTTTTTCTATCATTGCTTCTTGTATTTTGAAGTTCTTTTTGTTATGTATTTTGGATTGTTATGTCTTCCTGGTGACTTGACAACATACACTTTGATGAATTATCACTCTTTATACCTGGTAACATTTCTTATGAAATTTACTCTTCTGGTATTAATATAATACATATAACTCCAGCATTCTTTTGATTAGTGTTTGCAAGGTATATCTTTTTTCATCCCTTTACTTTTGACCAGCTATGTTTTTATGTTAAAACAGTCTGCTTATATACAGCATATAGTTTGGTATTGCTTTTTAAAATCCAAGTTGACAAGCTCTGTCATTAAATTAATATGTTTTTACCAGTTATTAATTAAAATCTACCATCTTGTTAGTTTTTTTCCTATATGTCCCATCTGGCCTTTGTTCCTTTTTTCCCCTTCTCCTGACTACTTTTGAATTTTGTAAGTACTTTTAATGATTCCAACTTTTTTCTCACTGTTGGCTTATCATTTATATGTCTTTTAAAATTTTTTCTGGAGTTGCCCTAGAGTTTATAGTAAACATCTGGAGTTAATCACAGTAGACCTTTACAAATATTATGCTGGCCCTGGCTGGCGTAGCTCAGTGGATTGAGCGTGGGCCTGCGAACCAGAGTATTACGGTTCGATTCCCAGTCAGGGCACATGCCTGGGTTCAGGCCAGTTCCCAGCAGGGGACTCATGAGAGGCAACCACACATTGATGTTTCTCTCCACTCTTTCTCCTTCCCTTCCCCTCTCTCTAAAAATAAATAAATAAAATATTTAAAAAAATATTATGCTGTGTGATGTAAGATCCTTAAAACAGTTTACTTCCAATTTCATTACCTCACTCTTTGTGCTATTATTTATTTTTATTTTTAACCATGTCGGAGGTCTTTATAACTTTTTGTATAGATTCAGATTTCTGTCTGGTATCATATTCCTGCTATCTGAAGAACTTATTTAAGGCCCTGGCTGGTGTAGCTCAGTGGATTGAGCACAGGCCTGCGAACCAGAGGATTGAGGTTCGATTCCCAGTCAGGGCACATGTCTGGGTTGCAGGCCGGTTCCCTGCAGGCCAGTTCCCAGCAGGGGACGCATGAAAGGCAACCATACATTGATGTTTCTCTCCCTCTCTCCTTCCCCTCTAAAGATAGATAAATAAAATAAATAATTTTTAAAAAGAACTTATTTAAATGTTTCTTTTTTTAAAATTACACTTTATTGATATGCTATTACAGTTGTCCTAATTTTACCTCCATTGCCCCTCCCACCCAGCACCCTTACTCACTCAGGCAATCCCCGCACCTTTGTTCGTGTCCATGGGTCATGAGTATAAGTTCTTGTTCTTTGGCTCCCCATGGCTATTCTGTAACTACCTATTTGTACTTCTTCATCCCCTCACCTCTGTACTCACTCCTCCACAGCCCCTCCCATCTGGCAGCCATCAAAACATTGACTGTATCCATGTGAGTCTGTCTCTGTTCTTCTTGTTTGCTTTGTTTTTTAGATTCAGTTGTTGATACATGTATTTGTTGCCGGTTTTTTTTTAAATATTTTATTATTTATTTATCTTTAAAGGGGAAGGGGGGGAAGGAGAGAGGGAGAGAAACATCTGTATGGTTGCCTTTTGTGTTCAGTTTTATTGTTCTTAGTTTTTATCTTTTTCTTAAATGAGTCCCTTTAACATTTCATATAATAATGGTTTGATGATGATGAATGGTTTGTTTTTTGTCTGGGAAGCTCTTTATCTGCCCTTCAATTCTAAATGATATCTTTGCTGGATCGAGTAATCTTGGCTGTAGGTCTTTGCTTTTCATGACTTTGAATATTTCTTGCCAATCCCTTCTAGCCTGCAAAATTTCTTTTGAGAAATCAGCCAACAGACTTATGGGAACTCTACTGTAAGTAACTAACTTCTTTTTTCTCGCTGTTAAAAGTCTCTGTTTGTTTAACCTTTGGCATTTTAATTATGATGTGTCTTAGAGTAGGTGTCTTTGTATCCAGCTTGGGGACTCTGCTTCCTGGACTTGCATGTCTATTTCCTTTACCAAATTAGGTAAGTGTTCTATTATTTTTTTCAAATAGATTAGCAATTTCTTGCTCTTTCTCATTTTCTTCTATTCCCCCCCCCCCCCCCCGCCATGATGTGAATGTTGGAATGTTTGAAGTTGTCTCAGAGGCTGCTTCTATTATTCTTGGTTTTTTTGGATTATTTTTTCTTCTTGGTATTCTATTTGGTTGTTTTTTGCTTCCTTATGTTCCAAATCATTCATTTGATTCTAGGCTTCATCCACTCTACAATTTACAGTTTCTCTGTAAATTGTTCTTTATTTTAATTAGTGTATCCTTCGTTTCTGACTGGATCTGTTTTATAGTGTTGAGGTCCTCACTAAGTTCCTTGAACTCTGTGGTTTGAACTCTGCAGCTGATAGATTGCTTATCTCCATTTTGTTTAGTTCTTTTTCTGTTTTAATCTGTTCTTTCGTTTGGGTCATGTTTCTTTGTCTCCTCATTTTGGCAGCCTCCCTGTGTTTGTTTCTATGTATTAGGTAGAGTTACTGTGACCCTTGTCTTGGTAGCGTGGCCTAATGTAGTAGGTGTCCTGTAGGGTCCAGTGCCCAGTGTCCCCTATCACCCAAGCTGGGTACTCAAGGTATACATACCCTCTATGTGAGCTGAGTTCACCTCCTCTTGTTGTTGAGCCTTAATTGCTGCTGGCAGGTCACTGGGAGGAATCTCTTCAGTTCAGTCAGCTGCAAGGACTGGCTGTGACCACTGATCACCAGCCTCTGACCCCTGGAGGATCAGCCATACAGGGGCAGGGTGGTGGTGCTCAGACATGGTCTGTAGCTGTCCACTGGGTGCACAGGCTCTGGTGTTTCCCAGGTGGTACAGGCCAAGGTCAGCCCCACATGTGTTCTGCCAGGGGCCACCCTGCATGAACTGTAAAGCAATCTCAGATGGCTGCTACTTGTGCTGGGCTTGGAGATTCCCAGGTGAGGCCAAGCTGTGAATCTATACTAGTTGCTGCTAGTGCTGCTAGTGTTGTTGCTTGTTTGAGAGAATTTAGGAAGCTGTGAAACATGCACCAAGACCATATGGAAAATTCATAGTTAACATTTTGGGTGGGCCCATAAGTTGGGTGGGATGGAGTCTCAGAGGATCTCCAGAGTGGGCCAGTAGTGTTAGCCAGGTTGATGGACATGTCTCAGATTTGGCACCCACCTGCTGGTTCTGTGGCTCTTTGTAGGGAGGGCTCAGAAAAGGGACAATGGCCTCTGCCTGCCCATCTGTCTGGGAGAAAGCTGTCCTCCAGCTCCCACCTTGATACCAGCATTTCCATTCCTTCCTGTATGCCAATGGTGCCTTTCAAGCTGCTACCCTGGTGCTGGAGCTCAGAGGGTGTGAGTCTGAATAAGTTCGTGTGTGGGTTCTTTAAGAGGAACTGCTTGGGACTCCAGAAGTTTCTTCCACCAACTTAATCCCCACTGGTTTTTGCAGCCAGAAGTTATGGGGACTTATCTCCTTGTCAGGGAGGAGATATCTCCCTGGCAAGGAGATAAGTCTCCATAATTGGACTTATCTGTTCAGTTCCTGGCACTGGAACCCTGGGCTGGGGAGCCTGGTGTGGGGCTGGTTCTCCTTGCTCCCAAGATAGCCCTTCTGAATTTTTATCTACTATACATGGGTGGGACCAGCTCGTTCTGCATCTCTGCCCCTCTACCAGTCTGGATGGACGTGGTTTCTTTAATTCCGTAGTTGTTAGACTTCCATTCAGCTGGATTTCTGATAGTTCTGAATGATGGTCCTTCTATAATCTAGTTGTAATTTTGATGTAGTTGTGCGAGGAGGTGAGCTGTGTTTACCAATACTGCCATCTTGACTGGAAGTCCCTTTGAATATTTCTTCAAATATTCAAAGGTAGTACAGGTCTATGGTACTGATTTCTTTTTTTGTTTGAAACGTTTTTATTTTTTATTTTGGAAGATATATTTGCTGGGTATAGAATTCTGGGTTGGTAGGTTTTTTCTTTATTTTTTTCTTCTTTTTCTAAAGCACTTTAAAGATGTCAGTACATTGTCTTCTGACTTGTATATGCATATTTTCTGGTGAGAAGTTGGCTGTGATTGTTTACTCCTCTGTATATAATGTCTGCTTTTCCTCTGGCTGTTTTTAAGACTTTCCTTTGGTCTTCAGTGATTTGACTATGATGTGTCCACATGTATCTTTGTTTTGTTTTGTTTTGCTTTGGGGGGGGTGTTCAGCTTGTTTGGATAAATTGTCTGAACTTATTGAATCTGTGCTTTGATATTCGTTATCTTTGGAAAATTCTTGGCCATTGTGTCTTTAAATATTTCTGTCCCATTTTTTCTCCTTTTTAAAAAATAATTGATCTGGGGGGGGAGAGAGAAATACTGTCTTGTTGCTTCACTTATTTCTCTATTAATTGGTTGCTTCTTGTATGTGCTCTGACCAGGGATTGAACCCACAACCTTGGCATATCTGGACAACACTCCAACCAACTGAGCTACTTGGCTGGGCCCTCCATTTGGGATTCCAGTGGCGTATTTGTTAGGTCATTTGATATTGTGCCATAGCTCTTGGATTCTGTCCTTTTTGTGTGTTTGATTATTTTCCTTCCACTTTCAATTTCTATTTCAGTTCGGGTAATTTTCTTTTGACATATCTTTAGACTTCCTGAAAATTTCCACAGCTTTGTGAGTTTAACAATGAGCCTGTTAAAGGTATTTTTTCAACTATGCTTTTCTTTCTTAACATTTCCATCTGATTTTTTCAAAAGCATCCATCTCTTTTGAAATTCTCTATTTACTCATGTTGTCCATCCTTCCCATTAAAGCCTTTAATGTATAAATCATAGTTGTTTTAAGTTCCCTCTCTGATATTTTCATTAGTTGAGGCTTCTACTGATTGCTTCTTCTCTTGGTAGTGGGAGGCCTTACCCATGCCTTTGCAGGTGTCTCACCATATTGGACTGAAGGTGAAGGCTGCCAGCATGAGCCTTTCTGCTCCTTTTGAAGAGGCAAAGTGACCGTCCCAGGAGGTGTTTTTCCCAGATCTGAGGCAGGTCAGATCTTTAATAACAATACCTTCCTTTTTGCTTTGTTTCAGGTCTGCTTTCATATCTGTGCCTTTACCCAGCAGCTGCAGAAAATGAACAAATACCAGGTGAGTTGTTTATTCCCAGTTTTGTTTTTTCAGTGCATTGAGGAAGTTTATAAGGATCCAGAATATGAAACAAAAGTATAAATGAGTGAAACTCAAGGGAAACACAGTAAATATTATTGATCAATATCAGCAGCTGAAATGCAAACCAGCCTAATTAAGTGCCTTACATTGGTTATGAACACCATTATCTTGGTTGTCTAGCATTAGGTCTCAATATATTTTATGGACCTTCATTTAGTTGGTGTTTTGGATGGCATCTGCAGAAACAACCCAAGTTTAAAAACATTATCAGTTTGTCTGAGGTTACTTCATACAGCATTCTTCAGTGCAAATGTGGGATTTTTGTTGTGTGTATTTTATTTTTCTAATCAGATTAACATGATGCAGAGAACTCAGTAAACATTTGGGTGTGTATTTAAATTCTCCTCTGACTTCTATAAGTAACATTGTTATTACTTTCTTGTGGAGCTTTCCAGAGTTTACTGATACATATTTATAAAATACAAATATAGGTTATTATAAGCTAGCGTATTAATCATACTGTTCTGTTGATATGTGTTTTGTTTCTAATTAATAGCTTCATTTTTTTTTTTACGGTTTTATTTACTTCTAGAGAGAGGGGAAGAGAGGGAGAGAGAGAGGGAGAGAAACATCAGTGTGTGAGGGATACCTCCATCAGATGTCTTTCACTTGCCCCCAACTGGGGATCTGGCCTACAACCCAGGCATGTTCCCTGACTAGGAATTGAACCGGCGACCTTTCATTTCACAGGCTGGTGCTCAGTCCACTGAGCCACACCAGTCAGGAGTTTCTCCTTTTATTAACATCTTACATTAATGTGGTATACCTGTTATAACTTATGAGTCAATATTGATATTTTAACTAAAGTCCATAGATTTTATTAGGATTCACTCTTGGTATTGTACACTCTGTGGGTTTTGACAAATACGTGATGACATGTATCCAGCATTATAATGTCCTACAGAATAGTTTCACTGTAAAAATCCTCTGTGCTCCATCTATTAATTCATCCCTCCCTGTCTCTGAATCCCTGGCAACTACTGCTCTTTTTTTGGATAGCAGTTATTATTTCAATTTTACAAATGGAAACTGAAGCCCAGAGTGGATAAATGTTCACCGAAGATTGCAGAGTAGGAAGTGTGCAGTCTAGCACTTTGAGGTTACAAGGGCCTTTTTCAAACCCAGTTTCTCTTTTGATTTCTTCCAACATCCATATGGGGTAAGGACTGCCTTGTAAAGGTGAGGAAACCGAGTTTTGAGATAAGTTACTTGCCCAGGACCCGGCCTGCAGCGTGTGGCTGGGTAGTGCTGGGCCCTCAGTTGCCAGGCTTACCCATGACCACATGGATCCAGTACCTTACAGCAAACTTCTTTTTCAGCTCCTTGGCATTGGAGTGATTGAGCTTCCTCTCAGATTGTCCTGGGGGGACCTGCATAGTGTCCCATTTCCACCCAAACAGCCTGGCCCCAGCTGGGGGCTCATACACGTACACAGGCAGCACTCGCACGCTTTCCCACTGCTCTTTTTACCGTCTCCATCGTGCTTTTCTAGCGTGTCATGTAGTTCAAATCATACAGTATGTAGTCTTTTCAGATTGGTTTCTTTCACTTAGAAATATGCATTCAAGATTCCTCCATGTCTTTTCATGGCTCCAGGCTCATTTCTTTTTATCACTGAATCATACACATATGCTGTTATATGGATGTACCATAATTTATTTTCCCGTAACCTATTGAAGGGCATCTCGGTTGATTTAAATTTTGGTAATTGTGAATAAAGCTTTCTGTAAACACTGTGTGCAAGGGCTTCCATCTGTTCATCTTCTTGGATGAGGTGTCCATGAAGGTTTTTGGTCCATTTTTTTTAAGACTTTATTTATTTTCGGAGAGGGGAAGGAAGGGAAAAGGAGAGGGAGAGAAACATCGATGTGCGAGAAAAACATTGATTGGTTGCCTCTCCATGCCACCAACCGGGGACCTGGCCTGCAGCCCAAGTATGTGCCCTGACCGGGATTTGAACCCTTGACTTTCCCTTTTTTTTTAAATTTATTTTTTTATTGATTATCCATTACAGTTATTCTATTCCCCCCTTCATTCCCCTCCACCCTACCCCCCATCCCCACCATTACCTCCCCTTTAGTTTATGACCATGTGTCTCAAGTCCTTTAGATTCTATATTTCCCATGCTATTCTTACCCTCCCCCTATCTATTTTCTACCTACTGTCTATGCTACTTATTTTCTGTACCTTCTCCCCCCTTCTCCTCCTCCCACTCCCCTGTTGCTAACCCTCCTTGAGATCTTCATTTCTATGTTTCCACTCCTGATCTAGCTGTCCTTTTAGTTTGCTTTCGTTTTAGGTGTGGTTGTTAATAACTGTGAGTTTGCTGTTCTTTCACTGTTCATGTTTTTTTAACTTCTTTTTCTTAGGTAAGTCCTTTTAACATTTCATATAATAAGGGCTTGGTGATGATGAACTCCTTGAATTTGATCTTATCTGAGAAGCACTTTGTCTGTCCTTCCATTCCAAATGAAAGTTTTGCTGGATAGAGCAGTCTTGGTTGTAAGTCTTTAGATTTCATGACTTGGAATACCTCTTTCCAGCCCCTTCTTGCCTGTAATGTCTCTTTTGAGAAATCCGCTGACAGTCTGATGGGGACTCCTTTGTAGGTGACTGTCCCCTTAGCTCTTGCTGCTTCTAGGATTCTCTTCTTCATTTTAATCTTGGCTAATGTAATGATGATGTGCCTTGGTGTGTTTCTTCTTGGATCCAACTTCTTTGGGACTCTCTGAGCTTCCTGGATTTCCTGGAAGTCTATTTCCTTTGCCAGATTGGGGAAATTCTCCTTTATTATTTGTGCAAATAAGTTTTCCACTGGTGGCTGTGCCTTTCCCCCTTCTGGTACCCCTATAATTTAGATGTTGGAGCGTTTAAAGATGTCCTGGAGGTTCCTAAGACTCTCTTCATTTCTTTGAATTCTTGCTTCTTGACTCTTTTCTGTTTGGCCATTATTTGCTTTCTTCTGGTCCACTCCATTGATTTGAGTCCCAGTTTCCTTTTCATTGCTATTGGTTTCCTGTGCAATTCCATTCATTTCAATTAGTTTCGCCTTCATATGTTTCTCTAATTTGTGGCTGTAATCAACCAGTTCTGTGAGGATCCTGATGACCAGTGTTTTAAAGTGTGTGTCTGAGAGTTTTGCTATTTCTTCATCGCTTAGATTTATAGGCTCTGGGGCTTTGAGATTCTTGAGCCATTTTTGGTCTGTTCGCACCCGTTAAGTATGAGGAGTGGAGCCTTGGACTCCCAGGTGGCTGGGTTATGACGCTGTATGTGGGGGCGGGGTCAGAGCGGGGAAATGGTGGGCCCCTCTGCTGTTTCTTGCAGCTGGGTAAGGAGCATAGCCCTAGGCGGTTCACCTGGGCCGGGCCACTCAGAGTCGCTGGGTTATGACGCTGTATGTGGAGGCGGGGTCAGAGCAGGGAAATGGCAGCGCCCTCCACTGCCGCTCTCCCCGGGGATCCGCTGGGTCCCGTCCAATCACCCACTCCCTCACTTGTCTATCTGCGCACGAATGGGAGACCACAGTCAACCCGCAGCCCTGCTCCCTCGCTGTTTCCCCGAGGTTGCTTGCTGAGTTGCCCACTAGGTCCAACTCTGCACCTGGATTCTGCACCTGCGTCCCTCTGACCGAGTTTTCCTGTGCTATCCGGCTCCGCCAGTTGCTGGTTTCGCCCCTTACCAGTCAGGCTGAAGAATTTGTTGGTAACAGACTTCCGAAAAGTTCAATTTTCTGTGTTCTGGCTGTGTTTTCTGTTGCTAATATTTAGTTGTCTCTAAACTTGGTTGTGTGAGAAAGCACGGCTTCTCTACCTATGCCTCCATCTTGTGGAAGGACCTTTTGCTTTTTGAGAGGATGCCCAATCCACTGAACCTTCCAGTCAGGGCTTTGGCCCATTTTTAAATCAGGTTGGTTATTTTCTTATTGTTGAATTTTATGTATTTGGGATTCTAGTTCTTTATCAAGTATATGTTTTCCAAAGATTTTTTTCCCATCTGTGGTTTGTCTTTTCATATTTTTTGTTTATGTATGTTTTTACCATTCAGTGACATCTTTAAAGTCTTCCCATACAAGAATATAATTCCTGCCCTGGCTGGTGTAGCTCAGTGGATTGAGCACGGGCCTGCGAACCAGACAATCGCGGTTCGATTCCCGGTCAGGGCACATTCCTGGGTTGCAGGCCAGTTCCCTGCAGGCTGATTCCCAGCAGGGGATGCACGAAAGGCAACCATACATTGATGTTTCTCTCCCTCTCTCCTTCCCTTTCCCTCTAAAAGATAAATAAATAAAATTAAAAAAAAAAAAAAAGAAGATGATTTGACTTTGGGTGGTGGGCATACAATGCAATATACAGATCATGGATCATAGAAATATACACTTGAAATCTATATGACCCTATTAATCAATGTCACTCCAATAAATTTAATATAAAATAAAGTCAATTCGAATAAAAAAAAAGAATATAATTCCTAATTTTTTATTGTATAATGTAACATATATACAGTATTATAATACTCTTTGCATGTATTATAACAATGTGTATAATAAATGGGTATACATAAAAGAATTAATGAGAGAGGGAAGGGAGGGAGAAAGAGGGAGAAGAACCTCAATGTGCACCTCCAGTGAGATCACCTCCACTGGGATGTGGTCCACAACGCAAGCCTGTGCCCTGACTGGGAATCAAACTGCTGACCTTTTAGTTCGTAGGACAGTGCCTAGTGAGCCATACCAATGGGTACCTGACTGGTACTTTATTATTTCTATATCCTTTTTTATGTTTTCTATCTCTTTTCAAGTTCTTACCAAGTTTATCTATTCTTCCCCTAAGTTCATTAAGTATCCTTTTTTTAAAGGTTTTATTTATTTTTAGAGAGAGGAGAAAGGAGGGAGAGAAACATTGATGTGTGGTTGACTC